CAGTCGCACCATAGGACAGCCAGTGTGGTGTAGTGGTTAAGAGCGTGGGACTGGGACTCGGGCGATCTGTGTTCTAGTCCCCGCTCAGCCATGGAGCCAACTGGGTGACTTTGGGCCAGTCACAGGCTCTCAGCCCAACCTACCTCACAGGGTTGTTGCTGTGGGGATAAGATGGAGGAGGAGATGTAAGCTGCCTTGAGCCCTTTGTAGGAAAAAGGCAGGATAGAAATCAAAAAATAAATAAATAAATAAATACATAAATACATAAATACATAAATACATAAATACATAAATAAAAAATAGTAACCCCAGGGTGAACCCAAATGTGATAGGCCATTATTGATTTATTGACTGCCTACAACCATAAAACCAATAATGCCAACATTTTAATCCATAATATCTTCCTCTGCTGTGTATTACAAGTCAAAGGTCATCCAGAATCCTGGGATGACTTTCCTACCCCAGTCTTACATTTTATTGTGTAATGCATACCTTAGTAGACCTACAATCTATCACTTCTAGGACATGATCATCTGCAGGGGAATAAGCAATGCCTGGAAATTTCAGCCATCCACCTTTTTTTCTACAAACCTTTCTTTCTATAAATATAGAAACAAAGAAGTTCCAAAAATGCAAACCAAAAGCCCGATGGGGTACTTTTGGACCCCACACATTTGGGTCACAAAAGAAGATTAATTACAGGTTATTTTAGTTTCTTTTGACTGCTAGAAATAGCAGTCAATTCAAGTAAAATCAAATTAAAACAACTAAAATACCCACTGAAGGAAAGCATTGCTATGCTGATCTGAAGTTTATAAGCTGAAACATTGTTATGCTGAATGGGAATTAATTGTGCCTGGAGGCAGGAAAGTATAAGTCTTAAATTACCAGTACTAGCTGAAACCTGAAATCCCTTCTGTCACTGCTTATAACCTCTTAGGGGAAATGTTCAATCAAGCAAATGTCCTTCATATTGAAATTAAGCCTTCTCAGAGGCTGTTTTGTGTCTGAGGTCCAAAAATACCCCAGAAACATCCAAACACAAGGTGTTAAAACAGAATTAACCATTTCCCTCTGGTTCTTTGTATGTGCCTACCCCAAATGCACACTGATAATTTGATGCCCTCTTGTGTGTCTTGCCCTTCTAGAGCAGTAGTGCCTTTTCTGTAGCAGCACCTCAGTCATGGCACCCCCTTCCCAGAGATTAGGCTCACCTTCCCATTAGTGGTCTTCAGATGACTGGTAAAAATTATGCTGTTTTGCCAGATTTTAGTCGTTAATGTTAGTCTTTGCTTTTTAGTCATTAATGGCTGGATTTAAGGTATGTTTTAGACTTTGTATTTTTATGCACTGTATTTTTTGCATTTTTATTTTACCTCATCTCAAGCATTTGGTGAGCAAAGAGGAGATCCCAAAATAATCTAAATACATAAAATAATTCCTCAGGAAACTACAGCTCCTCACATGGGTGTACACAATGGGTTATAGCCCATGTTAGTTCTATGGATACAATGTCCCTGAGTGGGAAAATGCACTAACATTGAATGTTCAGCATGCTCTCTGATGAATTCAGAATAAAGCTGCCTTTGACACAACTACGATGTGGTCTAGGGACATGGAAAGGCTCTGTTTGATGGTGGGAATCCATTTGATTCCCTGGGCTCAGAATCCAAGCTCCTGGCGAGCAGTCCCAGCATTTTCAGGGTGCTCACCAGGAAATGAGCCCCATGTGTTTGTACACGTGCCGCTCTTGCGGCATGAGCTGCACTAGAGAGGGAAGAAGGTTGGTTGCCAAGAACGATACATGCTGCGTCCACTCACAATACCCTTCTGCCACGTCCTGCAGCTGCTCTTTGAGTGGTTGGGCCTGATGGGGAAGGTTTCCAGTTGTGCAACCAGGGCTCTGTGAGCATTCACAGGCTTCATCTTGGCTCAGCTCACTTTGTAGGACCAGGGCATGCATGAGAGAATGTTAGTGGATGCTAGAGGGACATATTCCAGAAGGGGTCATCCCAACCCTGGTTTGGTCACACTTGGAATAGTGTGTACACTTCTGGTCATCACAGCTAAGGAAAGGATACTATAGAGTTGTGAAAAAAGTGAAAAGGGCAACAAGAAGTATGAATGGGTTGGGGCAGCTTTCCTATGAGGAAAGGTTACAACAGCAGATATTGTTTTGCTTAGAAAAAAAGTGAGTAAGGGGAGACATGAGAGGTTCAAAATTATTACACAGAAAGTGGAAAATGAGACATGTTTGTCCCTCTCCCATAATACTATAAACAGGATCATCCCTTGAAGTTGATAGGTGAAAATTCAGGAAAGATAAAAAGAAGTATTTCTCCACACAATGCAAAATTAAGCTATGGAATTCATTGCCTCAAGATGTAGTGATAACCACTAATTTGGATGATTTTAAATAGGGATTGGATACATTCATGGAGAAGCCTATCAATGGCTACCAGTTTTAATGGCTATATGCCACCTCCAGTATCAGGAATGGTGTGTTTATGTATACCAGTTCCTGGGGCTGTTGCACTCATATCCTGCTTGAAGGATCCTGTGAGCAGTTGTTTTGCCACTGTGTGAACAGAATGCTGAACTAAATGGGCCATTGTTCTGATCCAGCATGTTCTTATACATTTGTTCACTAGTTGGGCCACATGAGCAGGTGAAGTTGTTGTGACTTCTAGAAATTCCTTCTATTCAGCTAAATTACTCAGTGTTGTTTGCCATTTCCATGGTTAGCTTAGAATAGATACAAGTATACAAAACATGTTTTGTTTAAACATGTAAACAAAAGAATGTACTGCTCTTCAGTTTAAAATAATAAGAAAAGGGAAATTATCCATTTATTATTTTCCTTGCATTTTTATCCTTTTATCCAAAGGAATGATATATTATGCACTGATCTATTTCTCTTTTGATTTTAAAGAAACTTAAAAAAAACCATTTCACATTATGAGAACCTATACAGGCTTCTTCCCTTTCTTTCTAATTAATGAGAAAACATCCCTTATACATTATGACTCAATATAAGTATGAATGGAAGTGGAAGTCCTTAATCAGCTAATCCTCATTGTACCTGCACTAATTTCAACTGAAATTTCCATGGTCTTTCATGGTAACTTTTAAAGAATATTATCATATACCACAACTTAAGTCACATGCCATCCGACTGGATTTAAGATTAAAGACCCATCGATTTCAATGAGAATTGAAAGGACAGAATCTCTTCTCATCCATTCCAGAGTGCAGGATATTATATCATAGAATAGTAGAGTTGGAAGGGTCAGAAGGCCATTGAGTCCAACCCCCTGCTATTGCAGGACACTAAGTTACACCATCCCATTCAGATGACTGTCCAAATGCTTTTCAAATGTCTCCAAAGAGAAAGAGCTCACAACTTCCCCAGGTAATAAGTTCCATTGTCATACTGCTGTGACAGTCCGGAAGTTCTTTCTGGTATCTAGTCTAAATCTGGTACCTTTTAACTTAAGTCCATTATTTTGTGCCCTGCACTGTGGAATAACTGAAAAGAGATCCTGCCGTTCCTCTTTGTGACAGCCTTTGAGGTACTTGTATAGTGCTATCATATCTCCCTTCAGTCTTCTCTTCTTGCGGTTGAACATGCCCAGTTCTCTTAATCTTTCCTCATAGGGCTTTGCCTCCAGTCTCTGAATCTTCCTTGTTGCCCTCCTCTGTATCCTTTCTAGATTTTCTGCATCTTTTAAAAACTTAGGTGCCAGGAACTGGACACAGTACTCCAGGTGCAGTCTGACTAGTACTGAGTGTAGTGGAACTAGTGCTTCACATGTTTCGGAAGTGAATAATGAATTTCAGTTAAAAGAAATCAGATTTAGACTAGACACCAGGAACAATTTCCTCACTGTCAGAGCAGTACGCCAATGAAACCAATTACCTGAGAAAGTTGTAGGCTCACTAGAGACATTGAAAAAGCATCCGGACAATGGGATAGTGTGGCTTACTGTCCTGCAATAGCACAACTCTACTATTCTATGATAGCTTTTGGATTAAAACTTCTATTTGAAATGGCATTGAATTTAATAGGACTTTGTTCCAAATAATATTTTTAGGAATCAGGTGTCTAGCTTTGGCCCCCAACTGAGCACAGTGAATGCAGATTTCATGAATTCCAACAAAAACAGTATAAAGTTAATTTAAAACACATTTACACTGGCTATTACAATGCCACCTTCCACTGATGTCACAACATCAATATCTGTTTTACCATTACAGCAAAAGAAATCAATCCAATGATATAAGAAAACAATGAAAATTGAACAGGTCCCAATGGAAACTTGAATGTGTTCCTAGTGAAACCCTGAGCACAAGAGGTGTCTACTCTGCCCTGTTCACTAGAAAATGATGTAATGTTTCAAGAATTTCCAGATCCCCTTTTTCCCAAAATGATAGCCTCAAAGATGTGCCCCAATGAGATTTTGAATCACCCTTTCCATCACCAAAGTTAATGCTGCAGTGTGGTCTTTCCACATCACAGGGTAAATTTCATGATTGCCACGTGCATGGCCCAGTATTCTGTTTGTTTGCATCCCAGGGATGAGGTGGAAAAAGCTTCAAATCTGATGTTTTCAAAGAAAGCTTCAAAGAAAGTTATTTTGCTCTAAAAGCAATTAACACAGCCTTCTCCAATCTGATGCCTGCCATGTGAATTGGAGTATAAATCCCATTATCCACCAGTAGGCAGATTATGGGAGTTGTCCAATGCATCTGGAGGCCGCCAGGTTGGAGCAACTCATACGGAGCGCGCCGGGCTGGAGAAGGTTGCGTGGAGGGACGGGGCGGCAGCAGCAGAAGCCGCCTATTCGTGTGGATCATGCGATTAATAATAAAGCAAAAGGAACGCAGGCACCCCGGGGAGAAGAGGCGGCATGCACGGAAGGAATGGCGTTAGTGCACACGCGGAACATCATCGTCATCATCACCGTCAAGAGTTAAAGAGAGTGAAATGGCTAACGTACACACACCCCGCTCCATACCGGAGAAGAGTCTCCCAGCTGAGTCGTATGCTCCGCGTCGGTGAAGACCAGGCTGAAGCTGACCGCCCCCACGGCCACGCTGGACACCCCCAGCCCTATCTCCAGCACGGAGAGCACCAGGAGGCTGCCGATGATCTGGCCGCTGGTGCACATCCTCGCTCGGTCATCGTTCCTAGGCGCGATCAGCTCCGGAAGCCGCGCATTCGCCTGCTACCCGGGAGGCGGGAGGGCTATCCTGCAGCCGGCCGCCGGCCCCCTCCGCGGCTAAACTTTTGTGGCTTCTTCAGCAGCCGGGCATATCCCCAGCGGAGAAGGCCGAGGCTGCGGGCAGCGCTGAGGCGGGGGGCTTCGAGTCAGGGCGCGCTCCACGCTCCGCTCCACCCCGGAGACCCTCAAAGCGGGCGAGACCCTTTCTCAGCCCCTGGCGCCTGGTTCGTCCGTACGCACCCAGCAGATGAATCGGGCTGTCGCGCTTCCTGGCTTTGTTGCAGCTCGGCGCAGTCACCACGCAGATCCTGGAGCAGGAGAAGCCTCCGTGAGGAGCTGTCCGAGGTACTGACGGCTTTGCAAGGCTTCGCAGTGCGCTCACTCTCCCGACACTTCCTGATCACAAGACGCTCTTTAGCCGTGCCATCGATCTCGTTCTCTTGCGGGCCCCAGCCAGGCGGTTGCGCTCTCTCTCAATTTCTCGCCGACTCTGTAACACTCTATCCTTGAGGCTGGCGAGGGCAGATTAAATTCAGCACCATACTCCTCTCGCACACAGTAAACGTTTTCTCCAGAAAACAGAGAGAGAGAGAGAGAGAGAGAGAGAGAGAGAGAGAGAGAGAGAGAGCTGCTGTCCTTGTCTGATTGCCTCCTTCCCTCTCATTGGAATGACCTAGCCAAAAGTTGGCTAGAGGGAGGGGACACCAAGGAGGGAAGCCCAATCCTAGCAAGAGTTATGCACAAGCTCGGACACAGCAGCCAGGCGGCAGAGTTCACACAGCACAGATATGCACACCGCAGCCAAAACAGCCCCAGTGTGCCTCTGCATGGTTACCATATCTACAAGGTGCACCCTGTAGCTTGCTTTGGTGAGTCCTATGGGGAAGCAGATGAGCCAGGCCCAAGTCATATAATATCATACTTCTTTCTTCTTCTTTTCAAGAAGGGACTGGTCCCTTTATGAAATACTGGAAGCCAGCGCTGGAGTTGCATAAACTCTCTTCTTCTGGTTGTCCTGCTCACAGTAATAGACAAACCAATAGATATCAATGTTACCTTTTTTAAAAGAAAAAAGAAAAAGTTGATGATGGTATGACTTCAGCTTGATACTCCCACTGCAGGGCTCTTTAAAATAAAGCAGCAAGATATTTCAATAAAGTTAAAAATAGAGCAGCATCAAAGAGATTGGCTGTTCTTGAGGAGCTTCCAAACAGAGTGATTTGCAGATGTCAAGTGTGCTGGATCGCAGTGTCCAACATTTGCAAACTACATGGCCATAAACCCAATCCCTGGGTTGATCTTAACCTAAGCCATTTTTATTTGGAGGCATTTCTGATATAATTTCTAAGACAGTTCTGAGAGCTCACTGGTTTAAAATGTAGATGGGTTGATATTTAGTTATGGAAGATCAAGAATGGTATCTTTTAGAATATGACAACCACCTCTTTTCAAACCGTATTTCTCTGATTTGCTTAGAACATATCCCTGTGCAGGTACTGTTTTGAATGTCTTCCTTGTCTAGAAGCAAGGGCACAAGCCTCAAGGAATGGTCTGAAAGCATAGGAGGCAACAGACTTGCTGAAGCTGATGGAAGGCCACCTAAATACTGAGCATATGCATCCCTGAATTTCATGATGGAAGAAAGGTGGGGTATCCATTTTATTAGATAAGCAAACAGAAGCATATTGATTATAGTTAATTTTGATTCCCTTGGTTGCTTGCACAGGGTATAGTCTGCAACTCAGCATAGCATGATATGCATCATGTTACATCCTCACAACTTGACATGATATGCGTCATCCCTAAAACCAAGAGAGTCAGTGGTCTCTAAGTGCATGGCACACCTGCTGCTTTTGGTCACAAAACAGCTGGTACAGAGGGTATCTCAATGAGAGGTAGCTGAATTTGTCAATTTCTCTTCTCCCATGTTCAGTTTTTTGGCAATCTTTCAAAGCCTTCCCACCCCAGATTTGTAGAAAATTGTGAATTGTGGTAAATGCTTATCAGCATTAAATTGAAACTCACCCACATTGGCTACATTCAAATAGGTACAGTTATTCTCAGCATGAAGAGAACTGTACTGTGCCTGCCTCCCTACCTATCATATCACTGTTACAAGTGAGGAGCATGCCCGCACCACAAAAAAAGTGGCAACCTTAATTCCACACTAACATGGTTGAATACAAAGTCAAATCCAGACTTTTAAGAGTTGAACATTCACAGCCCTGAGCCTGGATGGACAAATCTGTTTTATTTATTTACTCCCATGTGCATTTTTTTAAAAAAAATCTGAAGCTCTGTCTGTCTGAAATATGAAAATATGCATGAATTTTGGTAAATATTTAGAAAACCAATGTGAAATTAAATTTTTACCCAAATGTAATCTCAGCTGCAGGGGGTGGAATTGATCCAGGGCTCCATTCCCAGGTTTCCCTGGAATGTCAAGAGGAACAAACATTCCTGCAATGCTTCTTACAATATCTGTCCATAAACTGTGAAGGGCAGTCTCCCCTACTCCAAGTTGTGCCAACTTGCCACTTCAGTGAGCAAGGCTGGGACACCTACAACAAGTTAAATGACTTGTAAATATTCCAGTTCCCTGTGCATTTGTGCTCTGCTGATAAATATATAGGTATGACTTGCCAAGAGCATTAAAAGAACAAATGAGAGATGGCAAATTCCGGTGTGAGACTAATCAATCCAAGGAAGAATTCAGAAAAGCAGGGAATCCATAGACTGATTCTGGTGGAGATGTACTCTAATTTTAAGAAACCTATCATTTCCTTTCAAATTCCAGTGCTACTTCAATGGTACAAACCTGTGTCAGGACTGAAAAAAATCAGACTGCAGATGCATGCTTACACAAATGAATGATCCTCCATACAGAAGAATCTCCATTTAAAACCAGGAGGCAAGGAGAAGGATTCATGTTGCTTAGCCTTTCCTCTGACATGTTAGCTGTTATTTGCAGGGAGATCTTGTTTGTTTGTAGAAGCATTCATTCAGCATGACGTGCCAGAGCCCAGACAGTTTATCACTGCAGTGAGTATTAGGTCTATATTGCGTATTGACGTGTACAATATGTAAGTATCTCCTCCCCCACTCAGATCGTGTCTTTCCTTTCTGGCCAGCAAATTTCTTTCTTATGTAGGTTCTAGCTGGGAGGCTAACAGTCACAACAAATAATCCTTAGTCAGGCATCTCAAATAAGAAGCACCACCTCTCCCAAAGATACACAAGATACCAAACTGTATTTTACTCTATAAATTATGCTTTCATTTGCAGCGCAAGTCCCTGGTTTCACTTTTCTAAAATCAACCAGATCTCCACACATCTGCAACAGAGGCTGGTTATTACATCTTTAATCCCACTCTTTTCTTTGGAATCATGGCATTATTCCTGACATCACTCTTTTATCCATCTATAGTAGCTATTTCAAATGCGCTTCAATCTGTTCAAATTATTATGCAATCATTTATTGCAATTCTGAAGGCATTAAAGGATATCCTGAATCTGAGGAAGAGAAAGGCTGGGAATATTTGTTGTGGATCCATGAATTGTCTGAACTCTTTCAAACGAGTTTCTCTATAATGCTCATCAATCTTGCTTGATCGTCCAGTTATTGTATAAGAACAAAATGCTTTAATCAATAGAAACTTCCAATGATAAAATCAGCTGAGAGTTGATGGTCAACTTATCACTATAATCCTAAATTTATTCATTTGGAAATAAATAGCATTTATTGCAAACAAACAAGAAAATACGCTTTAGATCACAACCTAATAATGCCTTGAGGCAGTGATTTGATCAGCTTTGCCATTTTGTCATTTAGCATTATTATTTGGGGGAAAAGGCCTTGGGAAATTTCTTCCTCTTAACCTTTAGTATAGATTTCCATTACATTTACCTTCAAGGCCACTTACTAAACAAATCAACACTCCAGTTTCAATACTGTAATAATCCACACCTGCCTCATGGGAATCAAAGGAGCTAATGTTTCTTTGTAAGACTGCAACTGTAATTGTTGGAAAATATGTTCTTTGCTCATGTGCTGTGACATAAATATGGGCACAAGCCAACCCAAACCAAGTATTTTTAAATCCCAGAATTCAGTAAAATTGGGAAAGTGCCACCATGTTTGGGCAAGATGTTCTGTCCTTTGGGAAAGTGGGGACTGCAATGCCCTGGTCACCCTCTTTCCTGCTCTCCCGGCTTTCTTCTCACCACTACCGCCACTTTGTTAGCTCTCTCTGCCCCCATGCAAAATGCTCTGCTTGTCCTAGAAATGCTTGAGTCTTGAAGGCTGTGGTTACTGCCAGCAAGGTGAACTCTGAATCCCACCTCCTGGAGGCAACACAAGCCTTTATCACATCCCAGCCCTTCCACAACTCAGCCTCACTCCATATCATTGATGATCAAGCCTAGCTACCATGCTCTGGACTCATCTTCCTTATCATGGCCCATTGGCTTACTGACTTCCCCCATCAGTAAATGGGGGGGGCAGCACAAGCAGGGGTCCTTTTTATTTATTTTTATTAGTATTTATGCATTTATTAAATGGCCTGGGCTTCAGCAGGGACCTTGTGGTAGACCCAGAAGTATTCCAAGCAAATTAAGACAGTGGATGACTGGAGTCTGTACTCCAGTGGGCCCAGCCACCTTATAAAATTATTTTTAGAAGAAAAGGAGGTATCTGTTGCTCTGGTATTTTGTTGTCTGGGCCCCCTGTTCATATCACCTTAGAGTTTAACTCCAGTGCTCAGCTCTAAAAGAGCCACTGGCTTCAATCACTTTAGTTTTGAAGCTAATATGAAACCACATGTGGTGCTGTATTTTGCTTTATTCTGCATACCTTGCTTCATTCCTGTGTTCCTTTGAGAATGAGGAGGCATCTGGCACTGACATTCAGAGAGTTTTCTATGTAAAACTGTAATCAAGGCTGGTGA